CCCCAAAACCCCAAAACCCCAAAACCCCAAAACCCCAAATAGAAGCATTGTTGAAATACAATGTGAGTTATTAAATTAAGAATATTAAGTTCATTTCATTTGTTAAGTTTGAAAACCATAGCAAATTTCTTTTAGACTGTTTCCTTTAGTCTGCCCCAGTTTTAACTTGATCTTTCTTTTTATCTAGCCTTCTGAATATCATCTGACTTTAAGTCTTGTAAGACATTTAGCTCCTCTTGAATCTGAGTAAAAGTCTATGTGATATACTCTATACTCATTTCCCTTTGAATATCTACTGTAGATTTTTTGAGCAAGGGTTCTTATTCTTATATTTCGAGATATGTTGCTCTAATTAATTTTATCTTGCATAGCAAAAGTCTCATCAACTCTAGATTATAAATTTAAATATGTATAGCCTTACATAGCATATCCTTGCCAAACATCTGAGCACTGTCAAATTAACCCTTTTGTCGAATAATTTTATCGAGAGTAAGATACTCCTTATAAACTTCTTCCATTCCCTGCTACTCTAAATAATCTTTCACTGTTAGTAGCTGTTTATAGATACCTGACCATAATCTAAAAAGACATTAATCTTAAAATGAATTATACTAGACAACATGAGAGTATTGTTTCGCAACTTCTTGTTATTCAAAGGTAAGACCATAGACATTGCAATCGATCTCGAAATTACTATCTAGTTGAGGCTGAACACCTAGTCCCCTTAGTAGCATTACTTTAACGAAGAAATTCGATTCGTTTGCGGCTAAGAAAAAAGTGTCAAAGTTCACTTTACCATTCCCTAGCATCCAAGATGTTCTATAAAGCATAGCAGTGTCTGAATCTGAAACATCGGGTTGAATCTGAGTCAAAACATTTTTGAAAGTGTAGAAATTCATTGACGAGTTAGGTTATGCTCCATTTTGCTCTTTGAAAAGTCTCTTTATGATATATAGTTTAGCCTTCTTTTCTGCTCGATAATACTCTAGCAGTACTCTTAAGACTAAAGATGAATCTAATGGAAGAGCGCCAAGTGATTCTGCGAAGCTAAAATCTTTCGACTTATCTTCTGCGATCTTTTCAAATCTTGTCTTTATTTCTTAGATATCAACAGGACCAGCAGGAGCAAATATAATGTCTATTACTGAGTTAATATGCTTGAGTTCCACAAAGTATAATGGCTCCTGAGCTGCCTCGATATCTTATAGCTAAGGACCCTTATATAATAAATTTCTACAGTGCAAGAAAAAATGCAAGTCATCATTCAGTAATCGTTCCTTTTGTATAGATTAATATATAAATCCTTACTTCTAAGAAGTCTACAAATATATTGCACTCCCACATTTTAGTAGGTCTCATTGTTTGTAGTCCAATTAAAAGCTGTAATCTAAGTTTATCAACTTTGCCCTCATCAAATGTCTCTAAATTTCTGACCTAAAACTTTTTAGGATCATATTGAAATTTCCCAATCCATTAGTAAACAAATTCTAATATTCATTATTTTTAGTGAAAGTATTGTTACCTGGGAATCTTTATATATTTAGAAGACCTCTTGGATCAGTATTAGCTAGTAGCTTGTGCTCAGAATATTTACAGTCTAATATCGCCCTCATTGTGGTAAATAGCCACATTTTGAATGGAGGCTCAAATTTGATTTTCTCATAATGAATACTCAGGAATGATCTGTCAGTTATGTTGTTACTTGTTCTATTGACAGCTCCTCTGTCAGGTGATTCAAACTTATTCATTGGACTATCTTTTTGCTGTTCTGCCTTTACTTTATGAAGTTCTGCCTCTACAAAATTATAAAAGGTAGGTCTTGCTAAGCTATGCATCAGTAGAGAAATCTGATTGTAATTCACATCTTCAATTACGTTGGATCCAGAAGGTTTGCTATCAGCATCCGAAGTAGCGCCAAAATTAAATTAAGATTCATCTTACCACTAACTCAAAATCAGTCTCTCAGTTCCTTAATTCATCATGCTTAATATATTGTTTCTGTAGTTCAGATTTAGTTTAGTGGTGTTATTGATAGAATAAATATTCTAGGGTTGTCTAAAAAGATTTGATGTTCTAAGCAAATCATCTATGACCATATCCTCATATTGCACAATTACTCCATTAGTATAGCCTTTTTTCAGATCCTTTTCAAGCTTAGCAATTAAATCCTTATACTTTTATGCAATATTCTTTTACTGTCTCAATTCTTCCAGCTTTTTATAGTACTTTTCCTTTGTCTTTTTTAGTTTTTATTCTAGATTCTCTTTGTTAGAATTTACTTCACTTTTGGATTGTCTCTCCATTTCTAACTGTGATCTTATCTCTTCTACTTCTTTATCTTTTTATACATCAGCTTCCTTGAGGGCTTTGATTTCATTTTCCTTATTATATATAGTATCTCTTAGATCACCTTTATCACTTTATAGTTATAGAATTAATCTATCTCTCTTCTTCAGTTCCTCGTCTGAGAATAATGCAACCGTCGCAAATGCTTCTTTTAGATCACTTTGCTCAGCTTCTTTACTTATTTACTTTACTTTTTCGACCTACTATAAATATTCATTTTGTCTGTGCATGATTTTTATCTCAAGCAGACTGTTTTTGTTGTTCAAATCCTTAATCTTATACTCTATCTTCTGCTTATACTCATTAAACTCTTTTTTCTGCTTATCATATAGAAATCTAAGAGTTTTAATATCATCTTTGCCGTCCTTCATTTCATCAGGGAAGTTGTTTTTTTCTTTTTCGAATTTCATAAAGCGGTCAATTTACTCTCTTAATTCTTTTATCTCGTTTTACTACTAAATGCTCTCCTCTATCGAAAGATTCAAAACATCTTTTAATTTATAGACATGTCTTTAATAATTTTCTCAAAATTGAACAAGTTTTTAAAGCATAGAAGATACTTCAGGATTTTCCTTGATGATAGATTGAAGCTGCTATGATATGAAACTTTGCATCTGTAATACATTTTTAAGTTTCATAGTAATAGGCTATTAGTCTTTAGTATTAGTTTTATCATTTGAATTCAATGACAAATTTGATACAGTTTAATCTTTGAAAGGAGTGAATGTTATTTTCCTTCTTGAACCATTCTAAGTAGTCATAGGTTTAATCTAATTAATCAATCTATTTGTCAAACTGATCTTGAGATATTATGAACTTTGATCGTGCATGGGAGTAGAAGTAATTTCATTTTAATCAAGCTAAAGAGGATGAGGTCATATAGTCTCTGAATTCTGATTTTAATTTGCAGTCTTTTGTTGATTTATTAGTAGCAAAGCAGTTGAGTTACTTCGCTGCTATTTGAATATAGAGGTATTTGCTTCTTAATTTGAGCTATAATTAGATTTAAGAAATATCAATTTACTTGAGAATCTGTTTTTTGAGTGTCAGTGACAAATTCTTGTGCTTTTATAAGGATGTGTTGGGATTATGCTTCTTATCTATTTCTATAATATGCTCTAATCTACTCTATCTAAGAGTGTTATAAGGTTAAATTCTATTGCTTTGTGATTAGCGTAGGTTTTGGACGGCCAAACTTTATAATTAATGGGTAGGTAAAGTTATGTCGTTTTATAACCTTTGTTAAAGTGACATCGATTGATATTATAATAAATTTATTATTGGTATTATCTCTCGCTGTTGATTCGATAACTTTATTTTTGATGGGGTTTTGGGGTTTTGGGGTTTTGGGG